CTTTGGTACGGTTTTGATTAAATAAGAGCAAGTTTAGAATAAATAAGTAGCACATTGAATTTCGAGCACTTATCAAACGGGAATCATTTCGGAGACACGATTTGGTTGACTTATACTGCACTTTAAACTCATTGTAAGCACTACACATATTTATAATTGTAAACATCGATTGAACATGACTGTATTCTATATGCATACAAGGCGTATTTCTAGTAATGTGTTCATATCCAAACTGATGACGAACAAATACCCGTCAGATCTTTCGGCTTGCGTACAGACACTAGGAGGGAATGACAGACTTTGAAAAACATACCTGCTACCAATCCTTCTGGCACCTATATTCGATTGTTTCGGTCCTCGCGTGGTGCCATCGCGCGTGTTTCTGACATTCAGCTGAACAATACCGTGCCTTTTGACATGAGGAACACCTCATAGTATGACCTACCTTTGCACAGTGCCAGCACATCTCACCTTTATAAAACCCACTCCTACCTTTACCCTTCATCTCAGGAATATGTTTCGCAATGAGCTCCGGGTCTAATTCAAGCAAGTCATACCAACTCAAGGTGACTATCGGGAATTTCCTACCATTATTGTTATAGTGCACCTTAGCCTCAGCACAATTGTTGACGTGGGGCATAGAGTCTTTGCGGTCTTCAAATGTAGCCTCGTACGTCCCTTTGCCGTCTTCTCCCAGCATATCCTTTTTGAATGATCTGAACGGTGTGCTCAACAGCAGTAAGATTGCCGACACGAGCTCCGGGTCCGAGTTGTAAACCGGAATCTCCGGTACTACGACTACAGTGAAGGGCGAATTCATCTTTTAAAAATATTTGCGTACCTATTAGATAATATCTGAATGGTAGAGGGATTTTGTGTTGAATGTTCTCTGCTTCTCGCTCTCTTTCTACTAGTAGAATACTATTAGTATGTAGAATTGTAGACTTTTACAGGCATTTGTTAAATACTTAATATTTACACAAAACTTGGAATGACGCAAATAGTCAAATTATTAAATAGTCCTTTTCTTCTCTCTAGAGAGGGTCATGATATATCTTTGGGGACATTATATATGACTCCAATTTTTGTCAATTTTTGTCACTACTCAACTAAGGGTTGTTTGCTAAACGTTTTCGGATTTTTTAACGGTACGTGACAAAAAATCAAAACACAAGGTGACAAAATTGCTAACACAACCTTGGTTCTCCAATCAGATACTGTCGTTGATCAATTTTGTCGTTTGATACCGGCCCAAGGTCTGATCTATACTGCGCAAACCGTACCTTTACGTGTTTTTGTCATTTTGACTTTAAACTAACACAAGGTCACTGACCAATAAAATGAGCGCAGAAAGCCAAAACGCAAGCGCTAATAAGCGTTAATTGTTAGGTACGCATATTGTAGTAGTATGTGTGTACACTTAAATATAGCGCGACACTAAATACAAACGCCATCATCAATGAACACTTCATTATCAGCACTCTTCCACTCACCCACACAGACATGTTCACACTTTCAGTTCACGATGGTAAGCGCAGTTGAAACACACGGCATACTATACATAATATATACTCTATATGCTATATACTCTAAA